CAAGAAGAGAAATAAATCGACAAATGAACAAAATGAAGGACAACATATTTTGCATATCTGCTATGATTTGCCTATGTTTATTTATGTTTATTATTGTTATTACCATCAATAAAATTTTCATTTTGTGTTCAGGTTTCACCATATCTTTTTATTTCCTTATAGTTTTCAGCCAACAACATTTTTTTCAAATGACTATCTGATCATTCCAATGCATATCAAGGAAACTTTGCTTTTTTGAAATAAATAAAGTTGAGCAATGTCATTGAATGGCATATTATACATTTTGACGTCCATAAGCAAAAATCAAGTTAATGCTGGAGGACAAGAGACGAAACGTCGTATTAAAATTCTAATTGTGGCATCTTGTTAATGCGCAATTTATTTTGAAATCTAACTACAAATAAAGTCAGGTTCTGAGAGGTATTTTGTTGATTACCTGAACCCTACGCAACTTTGCTCAAATTTACGCGACTTCATATCTCTCGTGAGGGTCGAATTTAAAACACCCTGTACATAAGAACCCTAATCCGTTTATTTTGTGGCCAGCAACAAACTATTGCGTTCAATAAAAGATGTTCTACCGTGAAATTAGGCGATCCAAGTACCGTAAACATAAACATGCGTTTTCCGAGGACGAGCTTCTAATTGAGACTGATTTTAAAACTCGCATAGTTGGGTAAAAATAAAGGTTTGTCCAAAAGGTATTATCGATGTTAAATCATGTTGTGTATGATGTGCCAACTCTGTTATATCTAACTTCCTTACCCGTTAGAGTTTAACAAGCGTGGCATTGTTTGAGCCTCTAAAATTATGATTATAAAGTTTTGTCGGCAAAGTTCGGTATTTATTCGCTTTATTAATTTTTGTTAGTTTAATATTACCATCATTTAAAAATGTACATGCCTCAGTCGTCAGATTTTTTTAATGACAAGGCATATTTGTGGAAATTCCCAAAACTAAAAGTAAATGCAATCTGTTTGTGTAATATTTATTCTTAACCGAATTAAACTTTTACCAGGAAATTTACCTTCGAAGTAAACCTTTGTTCAAACGGCATTGTTTCCAAATGTTTACTAATCGTACATTATCCTCTTCATTGCACTTTGACTGGTAAACATGCTATACAATCATTGCAAATAATTATAAATCACGTGGCCACAACAACTGATGGCTGTGACAGAACTATATGTGCAGTTCAAGCAATAGTTTTCAAAGCAGTTATGTAATGTAACAAATACATATTATAAATATGGAGAAGACTAAAGAGGATGGAGCTAGTGAGGGAGTGGAGAGTGTGGTCTCACTGAGTGAAAAGGGATTTTGTACAGAGGACGTTTTGAAACTAAAAGATTATACCATTTCGATTCACGAAAAATTAATAAAGGAATTGTGCGGAAAGATAGACACATTAAACAAACAAATTGAGAAAATGCAACAACCGTCACAAGAAGTAATTACAACTTACGCTGATATGGTTAAAGCTTCACGGCCTTTAACCGTTAATTCGCCTACAGCAGTGGTAGAATATAAGCAGCAATGCTTAGCAGTATTAAAACCCACAAATACAGCAATTATTAAGCCTACACAAATAAAGACATAGCAAAATTTGTGAATCCTACCACATTGAAAATTGCAATTGAAAAAGTTTATGATCTGAAGGATGGTGGGGTAAAAATCCATTGTAAAACAAAAGACAATATAGAGGAGCTACATAAAGAAGTTATATCAAAAATGACAAAAACATGTACAGTGAAAATTATTGGATTTTGTCACGAATATGCAGTAGACCAGATAATAATTACTATAAAATCACATAATGAATCTTTTCAAGAAAATTCAGATATGAAAGTAATTACAATCAATTAAATGAAAACTAAATATCAAGCAATTTTAGAAGTTAATGCTGTGACCTTTAAGTGTGTTATGAATGAGGGTGTTATTTTTGATCGACATGTCTGTTTGCTCTGTTTTCGAGTACATAAATGTTATGCGATGCTATAAATGCATCGGGTTTAACCACAGAGCTAAATATTGCACAGAATCAGGAAGATGTATTACTTGTGGATTCGATGCACATTCCGCAGAAAACTGTAGTATCAGTGAAATAAACAAATGCTGTCCAAATTGTCAAAGTGCAAACCAGGATTTTAATCTAGGATTACCTATTAGTCATGGACCGTTTGACAAAAATTGTGGAGTATATAAAAGGAAAATTGAGCGCGAGAGGGAAAAAATTAGTTATATAAATAAATAGCCCAGATTTGCAAGATGTGGCTAAGTCTGTCAGTAATGAATATAACTCAATATACCATTTGAACATACCAGGTGTCCCGAATAATATAGATGAAGTTCAACAGTTTTTAAGATGGAGAACACCACTGGTATTATGTCTTACCGAAACACGTGCTAGATAAGACATGACTGATGGTGAACTACAAATTACTAATTATAAAACCTACAGATGCAACTCCAACTCCAGCCATACTTTATGTGTAGTGATTTATGTTTACCACAAAATGAAGATAAAATTATTCGATTGTATCACTTTAGTCTATGCATACTGGTATGCACATATACAGCTCAAATTATTTGGGAAACATTATGATCTTTGTACTTTTTACCGATCACCACGTACACCACCGAAGCGGATACATGTTTAATGTTTTTTGAAGAGAAATGCGAAGAAATGTGGAATTTTAGAAACAATATAATACTTTTAGGTGATTTTAATTTAATTATTCTAGCACAAGCATGAAAACAAGAAAATTGAAAGAAATCATAAATAACTATGCGTTCAAGCAAAAAATTGAAGAGTACCAGAAGAACATCATTATCAGATACTTTCTTAGATCTTGTCATTGTAAATTTCGAATGTGTAGGGATTAAAGCTGTTCATACACCTAAAGTTAGTGATCACAGTTGGACAATGCTGCCCTTGGTAGGAGATTATTCTGATACAAAAATTAAGAAAATCGAATACTATTAACTACGAAAAATTTGAACAAGGACTTGCTGGCGGCTACTGGAATTTTGGTGAGAATATGGAAAACATATATGACAACATAATAGGTAATATAAAAACTTGTTAAGATCGTGCAACTGATGAAAAAGTAATTTGCTCGTCAAAAAATACACCCAGGTATAACAAAAATATTAAGGCAGCTCAAAATTTGAGAGGCAAACCTTACAAAAAATATATATTCACAAAATCAAATGATGATTGGGGGGTATATAAAACACTTAGGAATAAACGTTTGTATACAATTAGAGAAGAAAAAAGGAAATTCTACGATAAACAAATCGATAATAACAAGTGCGACAGTGTAAAGATGTGGAAAACTTTAAAAAGACGAAATTCGAAAACAAATTTCTTGGGGATTGCAAACAAACTAAATGCATATTTTGTGGAAAGTATTGTTGGTATTGAGGCTACTGTCAATGCTACACCTGACTATATGAAAATCAGTTTCCAGAGGAAAGTGTTGGATACAGTTTCAAAATTTCATAGCGTATCACTGAATTATCTGAGAAAAAAAATAAACAGTTTAAAATCCAACAACAGTGCCGGAATCAATACTAAAAATGTGCTGAAAAACTGTTTCGCAATTTTGGGATATCCTATATTGAATTGGATCGGTTGTTCACTGAGAAGGAGTTCTTTTCCTGAAAATTTGAAATAAATAATACCAGTTCCCAAATAAATACTAATACATGCAGCGATATGAGAAAAGTAAATGTGTTACCAGACATTGAACAATTATTGGGGTCCGTAGTGCATGACCAATTTAATGCAGTTTATAGAAGATAACAAAATTTTAGTGGACGCGCAAGCAGGCTTTCGCAAAAAGTATTCCACAGAAACGGCTTTCCAGTTGGTTACTGAGAATTGGAGAAGAGCCATAGACTCAGAAGAAGTTGTCATAGCAGTATTTTTGGATTTGAAGAGTGCATTTGAAATGATTGATAGAGATATTTTGTTAGGTAAATTGAAGGCATATGGTATATCAGGAAGAGTTCTAGATTGAAAATACGTTGGGTGTTCCACAAGGTAGTATCCTGCAACCACTTCTTTTTATTTTTTACATAAATGATTTACCTGCCACAGTCAAAAAATGCAAAATTCAGATTTTTGCCGTTGACACTATGATTTATATAAGTACGAAAAATATATATTCAGACATTCAGACTGGTATCTTTTATATAAATGAAGACTTGAAACTTGACTCAAATTAAATACAAGTAAAACGAAAGCTATGCTAATCGGAAAAAATAATGTACAAACGTTCAACTAAATATTGATGGTGAAGATATTGAATTCATAGAAAATTAATACCTTGGGGTTTTTGTTGACTCTCGATTAATTTTTGATATTTATTATGAAAAAGTTATAAGTAAGATTAGTAGTAAGTGGGACATTTATCAAGAGTTTCTGGATGTCTGAGTTCATATAGGAGAAACATTATCTATAATAGTATCATTCCTCCAAATTTCTTGTACTGTTCAACTATTCTATATTTAGCAAATAATTCCATTTTTGAAAGACTGCAAATTTTACATGAGAATAATACTGAATAAAGATAAATATACTCCAATTATACAAGTCAAATTGAGGAATCACTTGTTAAATCTACAATTAGAGCTTGCCCAGCATTTACATCATACCAGTACATCATATGGCTTGATTTACTAATTCTGAGTTGTTTACAATTATTCTGTTTATGTAGCCAAAAGTGCTAAATAAAACTTTCTATTAAGACGTGACCGAAAAAGATACGATATAGTTAAGCTTCCGATTTATGCACATCTCCATCACCTTACTAGTAACAGAAAGCAGAGATTTAGGTCTGTAGTTATAAGGGTCGGTCTAGTATCCTTTTTCTTTGGGATAGGCTGGACATGAGCAAAATTTCAATTTTCTAGAAGAGCACCGGATTCCTCGAAAGTTTCCAGGAAAAACTATCAAACAATCGGATGACTTTTAATGAAATTAGCGTTCTTACCTATCTAGGCCCCCATGTAACCCATGAATAAAAATAACGTCCGCACAATGTTCTGCTGACGGTTCAGCCAACACTTTTATGTGGACGGTTTTCTCAGGTACATAATCAATTTCTTCGCAAACGCTGACTTCACCATTGGTGATGGCCGCTGTTTGATGTTGGCTGTCCTTTAGTGCTGTTATGGCTGATACTAACGATATTTTTTGTACTGAAGCTAAGGATCTGGAAAGACATAAAAAGTTCAAATGAGTAATATAGAAATTATGTTAGACGAGAAGGGCACTCTGGGATGACTAGTTAAGATACAAAGCAACAAAATTTCAAGGATGCAGCCAAACCCGTTAAACATCAGGCCAGAAAGAAGTTCTGAGTTCATGTCAAGCTTTCGAAATGTGAAACTTGTCTTTTTCAAATTGCCAACATATCGGTGTTTATTTTTCGCATTGTTCAGGGGTATCATAAGAGACACAAAACACGTCCCAAGGTCAACTATGAAAAACAAATTAATGAATACAACATGAAAAACAAAACAATAAGATGCCAATTCAGACTATAATACTACATTAAACCAACTGGCGTGGACGTTGGAGTCCTTTTTCAGAACGAGCAATCCAAGAAAAAAAAAACGAAGGGAAAACATCAATCAACGCACAACATGAAATGCACAGGTCACTGTATAAAATACTGATCAGTGTGAATCTTCATGAGAGATTTTTCACATTATGATGTATGGAAATAGCATAATATGTAAAAAATGAACTTTAACGTTCACGAAGAAAAGCATTTGCGAAAGCTTAACGCAGAATCTCTTCTTTCTGGTTTTGGTACGGATGGCTGAAAATGAATCATACCGGTTTGTGAGATAACTTCTTCGTCGTGACCATATCCGATTCACAGACACTGTTAGTATTGTAAACCTGAAGAGATGTAGTGGAATGGCCATTTTTTTGTTGAAAAAATAATTTGGTTAATACAAAAAAATAACGAACTCTAAACTGAATTATAAAAAAAATATTTGATCAATGTCAAAACGGTCAAGCTGACAACTAAAAGCTTCGAATACCATTTGAGTCGAAAACGATCCTCATTGGGAATCTTCCTTTTGGTCAGAGTGTACCGGGTGCCGCCACTGTGTTAAAGTTTTGCGAGGAGAATTTTCTAATATACAGGTGATGAGGTGATTCACAAGTCGTTACCAAAAATGAAACATCATACACAGGACCACATTCTATGTGAAATTTTTTCCTCAAGGGCCTCATTAAAAAGATACGGGGTGTTGAAGTTTAAAAATAAAAAACAATTTTTTTTAATATCTTCAAAACCGTCAACTGGAATGAGCTAAAATTTGTTTAATTAGTGACATTATTTTTCCAAATGATAATAGTACGCCACTGTTTTTTTTTTCGAAACGCGCAATATTTCGAATTTTTAACTTCAATTCGGTACAAATAATTACTTTTGTGTTTTATCCTAGAGTGCAGTTTTTGTAAAAATAAAACGAATCAGATCATTCATAAAGAGCCGAGATTCAATTAGTTTCAAAATAAAATAGGAGGCCTTGATACCAACTTGACGTTTCTTGGGAAATAGTTTGGCAAAGTTATACGGTTGTTATCGTTACAACTATTATTTTTTTTTTTGTAAAAGTCAAGTCAAAAGTTTCTTTTTTCCATTTTTGAGTGTTGTGAAATTGAATTTAGCAATGATGAGTACGCTGATATTATTTTTGTGCACGGGTTGTGTAATGGAAATGCTTCAGCGGCTTCCCGGGAGTATCAACGTAGATTTCTTAACATACGCCAACGTGCCCCAAAGGTTTTCACGCGTTCATTTCTAAGACATCGGAAATATGGAATTGCCAAACTTACCGGAGTTAGAGGCCATGGTGTCTGGCATACTGTGCAAGAGGAACTGGAAGTGATTAATTTAGCGTTGGATGATCCTTGTACAAGTACTAGGCGGATTGCAGCCCAGTTACCATGTTCCCAAGGTCTTGTGAGGAGAATTTTAAATCGGGAAGTTTTACATCGTTACCATGGGCAAAATGTGCAATGTCTGCAACTCAGCGACGAAGTGCAATGGATAAATTTTTGTGAGTGGTTACTGCAAATGCATAATCAAAAGGCAGATTTTATGGATTTGGCTTTGTGATCAGATGAATCGCTTTTTACGAGGAGCGGAACCTTTAATTCTCATAATGAACATATTTGGCCATTAGAAAATCTCCGTTCTGTAAGAATCCACTCGTTTCAACACATATTTTCTAGAAACATCTGGTGCAGCATTTCCAATGTCCAATTGTTTATGCACGTATTGTCAGATGGTGGTCTTTTTGAACAATTATTGAAATAAAGCTTTTATTGTATCATTGTTTTTTTTTATTTTTACGAAAACAATGCACTCTAGGAAAAAAACAAGAGTAATTATTTGTACCAAATTCAAGGTTCCGAAAAAAACGTACTATTTTTATTTGGAAAAATAATGCCACGTCAATTTTAAGTAAAGATTTTTGAATGTGGACAATGCCACATACCAAATTTTAGTTCATTCCAGTTGACGGTTTTGAATATATTAAAAAAATGTTTTTTATTTTTAAACTATGAAAACGATAACTTGCTTTGAAGACTGTTTCGACAAAATTCTTCATTTCTAAGAGTTGCCGTTATTATTTTTTAAAGATTTTTAACCAAATACAGATAAAAGTAAAAAAGAATGTTTTTGTTTAAAGTTGCTATTTCATAATTAAAAATTGTTTTCTTATCAGAGATATCAGATGATTTATAACACCAAGGGAAATGTTTATGTGAAAAATGAGGTTTTTGTTTGTCGATTACACGTTTTTCAAGGACAAGCAATTCACTTATCTTTTTTGTTTTATTCCAGTATTTAATACTATGTTCATATTCATAATTTTGGATATCCGTATTCGCAAAAATTCGCAGTAATTTCACGAAGGCGGATGCTAATGTAAAAATCAAGAAACATGCGGATACTTAGATATGCGAATATTCGTTACATCGTTACCCTATACACTCTACATAAAAGAACTTGAGTATTTTGTGATACAATAGAGCTTACCTAGAAATACTATTTGCGAGAAAAGCAGCTAATGCCGGAAAAATCTGCGTTTTAACGCAATAGACTACGGTCTGAGGGTTCCGAAACAGCGTGTAATAGACTGTTGTTACAGAAGGTAGTAGTGCTCGAGCCACTAGATCCACAGCTAGCCATAGCTTCCTGGAAAAGAAAAACGGATATATTAGCATTAGATATACCCAACTTTGAGGTGGTTTACTGCTCAAATTCGAGCGTTCACTAGCAGCTATTCAATCATTACACAAGGAGTAAGTTCTTTGAATCCCCACAATCGCGTAATGTGATTAAAGTTTTACCCTATCCGTTTTGTAATAGATGCAAGAGCCGACTTCAGGATATGGTGCTGAAGTGGTGTTTCCAGAAGTCTAGCCTGATAAAAAATGGCGTCAAGCAGGTTGACTATATAATAGGTGCATAGAATTACCAAGGTTGGGAGAGAATACATGTATAATGTCAAAAAATTGATATAAACCCTCCCCACCATCCTGCAGTCCCGCGACCAAGGTTATTTACCATAGTTTTTTCAGGATCCTCTGAAACGTCAAAAAACCAGGTTTGAGCGATTTTTACTTTTTTCGTTTTAGGGCGATTTCTCCGCCGCCACTGGAAAGATTTTCAAAAACTAAAAAGCTATTGCGGCTTTCGCCATAGTAGTAACATTGCGTAATATTTTTATCGGAATCCACACGGCTATTATGTAAAAAACCTAAAAAACGTCAAAGAAAACGTCACCTTGCAGACTCGGTAGTTTTTAGAGTGCAAATAGTTCATTCCACGTTTGCTTACTATGATCGCTGTTCGATGACGTTTAAGCAACACGTACAGTTACAAAACGATTTCACAACAAGTGTACAACACGTACTAAGTTAACATCTTGTAGAAAAACCTACGAAATATCAAAAAACAAACGCCGAAATGTCACTTTTTAAGATAAGTAATGCTTGTGCCGAGCGATGCTTCTCACGTTATTGTAGCGTTTTTCTGGGTTCTTTTGGGGGTAGATCAAACACATAAAAATAAATGCACTAATTTATTTATCTTGACTAGATAGAACATTTATGTACACCGCTATTTATGTCTAACTAATTCTTATGTCGCGCCATTGACTGAACTGTACTCCACTCTGCTCTAATCGACTCTACTACCATCTCCCGGCTGTCAATATATAGTCCGCATTACAGGTACTCGTCGAGTTGAGAAGATTCCGGAGAGTCACAAAGCTGCAGTCTAGAATATTCGAGGTAACTTCGCGTCGATCTAGAAGGCGAGTCACTGGCACGGTCCTTAACAGATGTCGCCACCGAAGGAGAGTCGCTGGCACGGTCCCCAACAGAGATCGGCCATGAAGCAGCTGGCGAGTAGGAGAGTCTGGCGCGGTCCCCAACAGATAGCGCCAACGGTACTCTTCATTCCTGTTACACTGCCCCCCCCCTAAAGTCGTTCCGTCCTGGAATGATCCTACTGGCGGTGTATGTCGATATCGGCACGACTGCCCTTTCTTGCAGTTAGGAGTTCAGGAAGAAGTAACCATCCACACTCTTTCCAGGAGGTAGCCGTCTAGGATTGTGACAACATACCAGAAATCGAATGCCTGTATACCGGAGGACTACCTCAAGCATGCTTCAGATGGTATTGCTAGTTTTCTCAGGTCCTCGGCAAGCAACACTTCTCTACGAGAACACAAAGCGTTCCAGACATCCTCGTAATTCGGTTTCTGATACGAAGCTTTCTTGGTAACCAGATAGAAGATCATTCGGTGGGCACTCTTTTCAGTTCAGTTCACTTCTCCGACTTCCTGGTTAGATTGTTGCAGCTCGTGCACTCTTCCAAACTTCCTGAGAAAGACCATTGCTATACCTCTCGACATTTGCAAGTCTTGAGCCACACAGTGTGCCAGGGCATGCTCTGGTGAAGTGGTAAACAGATCTTGCTGTACTTTACATGTCACGCCATACCGACTCTTATGGCCATTATCATAGTGAGCCATAAATTGGTCAAATGTCATGTCCAGTTCTGGTTGGATTTGCCGCATCGGCCCATCTTCGTTGTTTCCATGATAAGGGGCAAGTCGGTTGATAATGTACAATTCGGGCTTTTTCGCGTGGTGCCTTCTGAATCCTGTAGAGAACATCATTAATGGCTACCAGAACTTTATTTGGCCCGTCTCAGGATGACTGAAGTTTAGGCGACAGCCCTTTTCGCCTCTTTGGGTCGTAAAGCCAAACCTCTGCTCTTGAGGATTAACGTCATAAGCTTCCTTCATCCGGTCGCTGACACCTTGAATTGAAACACGAACCTGGCTATGGATGGCGTCCATTCTTCGACGCAGCTCACTTACGTAGTCTTCTCCGGCAATATCAGTTCCTGGTGGACAGCCAAACTTTAGATCGCATGAGAGATGAAGTTCTCTTTCTATAACTATTCGAGCCGGAGTCTCTCCTGTGCTTTCACGAATCGACGATCGGTAAGCCAATAAGAAAAGGTGAAGAAAACCATTCCATCTGACTGCGGGTAGTCCTGGTCTTCTTAATCCCAACGATTTGACAGACACTTTGGAACAGATTTGACTCAAAATTGCGCCCTTGGTCCGAATGCAACTCTAAAGTACACCAAATCGACAGATCCATTCCTTTACTAAATCATCGGCTACCGTAGAGGCTTCCTGATTTGGCAGAGCGTATGCCTCAACTCACTTGTTGAAGGAATCCATTACCACAATGATGTATTTATTCCCTGCTTCACTTTCTGGAAAGGGTTCCGCCACATCAATAGCAATCCTTTCAAAGCGGCTCCCCACGTTGTTTTGGCGCATCGAAGCTTTTGGTTTCCTTTGCGGTCCATTATTTGCCGCACTCACAACGCATTTTCTGCACCAGTCTTTTACGCCCTCCTTGCTATTGACCCAGTAAAATCTTTCCATCATTTTTCCCAGGGTTTTTGTAACTCCGAGATGACCTCCTGACACACCGGAATGGATTTCTTCTAGCAGCTCCGGGATCCGACATCTGGGGTTAACGATTTGTCTTCTTTCCTCTTTGGCGTCATGGTTCACCATTTTACGCAGTAAGAGTTCGTCATCCATAACGAGAGAATTCCATTGTGCCCAATATGATTTTATGGTAGGAGAATACTTGGCAACTTCCTCCCAGGCTGGTTTCAGTTGTTCTTTCATCCAGTTCAGAATTATTTGGAGATCGCCCTCTTGGTCTTTAATAAGGTCTTCATTTTGCCAAGTATCACTAACGATAGTGATTCTTAATACTTGGAAGTCTTTTTCTAAACAGGGTCTCCTCGATAAAACTTGTAAACAATCCTGATCCCATTGAAATTTGCGTCTCCCTTCTGTCGGCCTGGTCAATGGCTTTTCCTAGGAAGCTGCGTAGCTCACGTTTGTCCTTCGGAACTGGCCATTCTTTTACAGTCTGGATTTTCTCCTTGTCGACCACGACTCCCTGACTGGAAACAACATGGCCACTACACAGCTATTTGAAACAGGTGGTATTTCTTTGGGCTCAATTTCAAGCCAGAACCCCGTAGCCTTAAGAAAACTTTCTTAGGTTCTTCATGTGGTCCCCAAATGATTTTCCCACCACGATAATTTCATCAAGGTAAACCAGGCACGTTTTTCGTGTCCAGCAGCCCTTCAAAGGTGGCAGGAGCATTGCACAGACCTTCAGGAGCCAATTCTACTTGCCAGTATACGCTTTTTAGATCTAGGGTGGAAAACATTTTTGATCCAGCCAGGATATCCAGATTGTCATCAATACGCGGATGAGGGTAGCTGTCCTTCTTGGTCACGTTGTCTAACATTCGGTAGTCCACACAAAATCTGGTTGAACCATCTTTCTTTTTAACCAAAACTACCGGTGAGGCCCATGGACTATTGGACGGTTCAATGATTCCGTCGTTAGCCATACTGTTTACGATATTGTCAGCTTGCTCTCTTCTAGCAAGTGGGAGCCTTCTTGCCATCTGCCGGATGGGCCGGGCATTTTCCGTATTGATCTTGTACTGGACTATATTGGTTCTTCCTTTCTGTCCAGTATCGAATACATCCCGATATCTATGTATTATATGTTCCAGTTTCTTTCTTTGGTCTGGTCTTAGATCTCTGCCTGATGATGATATTAGTTCTTCCAGTTGCTCAGGAGTGACCCCTGAGTTTTCCACAGCTGGCATATTTCGAATGGTTGCAGAAACCGGACAGCAGTGTCCCAGCTTCGATCCCTTCTTCAATGACACATGGTAATGACTGACATTCATTAGTCTCACAGTAGTAGTTTTATCGGCACGCACAAGGCCTTTTTCAACTGCTATTTCTCAGCCAATAGCCTCGTCATGCATCCTAGGTTCCAATAAGACTATTTCTCCGTCTGTAGTCTGACCATCTACCGAGCCATTCAATACAGCTTCGCCTCGTTCTGGGATCACGGTGTCTTCAGGCAATAGAACTCGTACGTTTCCATTCGTTTCCCGGTGTAAAATGACCTCCTCATTGTTGACTCGTTGATTACCTCGTCCTCAATATCAGCTACTAATCTACTATTCCAAATGAGATGTTTACTTCACCGTACTCGTTTGCTCGGTCTCCCGTCGCCGTTCGTAGTTGCCATTTGGATGGTCGAATCTTCGCCGATGCTTTCACCATGCCGGGCCTTACGGTAGTCTTTGTCGCACCTGTATCCAGCAATATAGTGTGGAGAGTCCCATCCACAAAAGCATCGACAAAAACACTATTAGACTGATGTTTAAGCGAGGAGACTTGGATGGTATTAACTGATGGGGCTTGTTGGCTACAGGTCGACGATAGCCCCTTCACGTCGACCTCCCTTAGTTTTCCGGATTAGCCGGATGAAGACTAGCACCTTCAGGATAGCGTCTCCTAACGTGAACTACTTTTCCACATTTCCAACATTCCAACTTACTGTTCTGGCGGCGACGTTCACCATCAAGTTCCTTAACAATGCGCTTGATGGACTCTTCGAAGTCGTTATCTCCTGGTACCATCTGGCGGACTCGGACCTGGCCTTTATTTGTATTTTTAGTGGCTTCGAATTCTAAGGCCCGAGTTAGCGCATCTGCTAGTTTAGATGGGGTATGCTAATCGTACCAACCGCGCAATATCCGCTTCGAACTCCTGC